AGCCACTAGATGGGCCTCTGTCCTGGCCCAATGTGATCAGCCCTCTCCCTCCCCAACTCTAGGCATGGCTTCCAGCACGTTCTTAAACTTTTCTAAACTAGCCCTGATTGCTGAGGAAAGTAGGAAAGTTGGGGCCAAACCTAAGTGGCTCCCTAATAAAATGTTTTGAGGGCTCTTAATTTATCTTAAAAATCCATGCAAATTTGTCATCCTACTCCAGAATATGTGTTTTCATATAACCTAATAGTGAAATGAGTTAACTTTTTCCTTTAAAATATCAAGTGAAACTGATACGCTAGGAAGGTGCCCATGACCAGCCTGTGGCCCCATGTGCCCCCAGCACAGCACCCAGACATCCATGGAAAATGCAGACCCCAAAGGGGGAAGCATCAATGCTTAGATGTTAGTGACCTTCCCTACCCCAATCCCAGAGATCTCTACTTTTGAACTAAACATCAAAGGAAGGGAAGAAGGAAGGTAGAAAGTGGGGGAAGGGGAGCAAAATGGCATCTTCCAAAAATATTCTATAATTTTAATTTTTAAGTAACTCAGGTGAGCTTGATCCTGATTTTTCCAGATCAATGAGCTTTCGCTAAGAGTCTCTTTTTTCAGCACCCACATTTGGCTGTTTGACTTCACAGTGTATTTCAGCTGCGTGGTTTCATATGCACAGTAAGGAAGCTCTGACCCAAGCGCCGAGTTTCTTACCTCATCTTTTCGCTTCCAGTGGTGCTCTCTGCTGGCCACTTGAGGACCACTGCTGGCTGGGTCTATTCAAACACATGCATCAAACACAAAAACCAAATTAGGAATTTAAGAATAAAAGTAGCAGAAGAATATTTTGCAATATCAATTTGCTTTCTCCCCATAGGTTTCCCTTTCCCTTCCTTTTAAATGGGCTCTTAACTTTCTTCCCGCAGGGAGGTTTGTTAATAGGCTCCCGATGTCCAATACAGGACTGAGAAACTCAAATGACAGCAGGCAGGTCACACACATGATTAAAGTGAGCTAGATATAAGACAAGAGGGAGCAGTGTAGACTGTGGCAAACTGGACAGCATCTGCTTCCCCAATAGGAGCCAGCTAGTACTCAGCTCTGTCTGACTGTTGCTACGTACAGGATTGAGGAGTGAGTGATGGCAGATGTTCTGATTTTTTTTTTCTTCAAGAAAAGCTCAAAATCTGGATTTTTTTTTTTTTTTAAATTTTTTTTGAAATTTCTGGATGCTTATACTTGGCAACTAATTTTTAAATTGTAAAAGAAAGCATGTATATGNAATGTGAAATTTCTGGATGCTTATACTTGGCAACTAATTTTTAAATTGTAAAAGAAAGCATGTATATGGGTGAAATCCAGTGTACAGGCTGGATCCAGTCCATGGGCCTACCATATGTCACTTCTGTCCCCAACTCATTGGGGAATACAGAGTGATATATTTCCCTCAGTGTCCCTAGAATCATTCAAGGAAGGAGAGAGGCCTACAGGTCTAGGAAGAGTAGGGACCTGTGCCCTACTTCCACTCAGGATCTCTGACTCAACAGCCCTCAGGGTATCCCTCAGGGTATCCCAAGGCTTGCCATACACTGCTGTGCCCATGAGTACTGTGGAGAGGCAGAGTGGCAGATGCAAAGGGACCGTAAAGGCTGCCGTAATGGTCATCTCAGTGTCAGCCAGCTCGGACAGGAGGCCCAGGAGCAGAGGGAGCTTCCCAAAATCATATGCTGCATATAACCCCTGAACAGAGCTTAGAAAGTGAGCCCTAAGAATGTCTGAGTTGAACTTGCTTCTAGGGGATAAGTGAGATTACATATTGAATGTCTGTCTCTCCGCCCCACAAGGGTAGACGCCTTGTTTGGCTCACTCACTCCGCACAGTGAGCAACACACAGTGGGGTTGCATTTTACAAGAATTATGCAAATGAGAAACAATGAGATGCAAACCATGAATAAAGTGTCACGTTAGGCACCCAATTTGAAGTCATGTATACCGCCCACCCCCCAATTAGCAATTCACTAAGAGTTGCATTATGTCTAAACTAGCAGGTCACACAAATTTTAAACACTGGGGATGGTGCTAATTAGAGAAGTAAATCAGGAGGACTCCTTTAAGCTGGGGCAGATGAAGTAATAGTGACAAGGGGGCTCCATAAGGCAGGGACGCTGAGCATTGAATGGAAGATCTTGAATGCATTTTCTCTAGAGCAAGGGCTTCCTATCCAGTCTCCTTTGTATACTGCTTAGCCCTGTGATACATGCAACTGGGTGCTAATGTACATCCAGTGACTCTAAGTACTTGGTGACTGTGGAAGCACACCTCAAAGCACGTCATCTGAGTTGTGGCCATGACCGTGGTTTGGAATACCCAGTGAGGATGGGTCGGGTTCCGTATTCCCCTTGGGTTGCTGGGAGCAAACCAGCTCCCCACACCTGGGCCCACTGTGCAAATCCGGCCCTCCCATTCCTACTCTTCCCCAGTGGTGCTATGTGGCTCCAGCCTACCAGGGCAGGAACAGGGTAAAACAGAAGCTGCTCCCCCGGCCCAACAAGGGTATGGAGGGAAAGTCAGAGAGCAGAAGGAGCCACCTGGATTTCAGCGTCTAGAAGTCTCTGATATGTGACCTCCCAGAAACAATGCGGCAGTCAGGGTGGGCCCAAGAATGGGGGTTGATGATAAACCCACACAAGGCCCTCAAATCAACTTAATTTTACATTTATCAAAATTCCTTCCCAATGGTTTTCCTACCACTAAGGGGATACCCCTTACCTATGACCTTGGAACTAGTGGTGTTTTCGCCAGACTCAGATTCTTGGATAATCAGTAACTTACTTAAATCTGAAGTTCCCTGGACCTAAATAAGAAAAGTCTGCATTAGTCAAAAGCGCATTCTTTCATCTCTAAGCTGGCTGCTTCCTAACCTTTCCAAAGAATATTAGAAATAAGCCAAAACCTAGAACTGGGCCTGCAGCCTACACTGTCTTTCCCACTTCAAACCCTCTTTAACATAGCTTCAAAAAGTCTTCTACCAGCAAATTATCTTTTGCATATTTATAGACATCAGAAAGGAATGTTCTGTTCCTTACTTGTAACTGGACTGGAAATTCCCAGTTTAAAACAGAAGCCACTAAGTTACTTTTACACCTCCATTGATGTTCAAGGGTTCAGGCAGGACCCAGCCTTCCCACATGGCAGAATGGTCTTCTTTTTTTAGAGTTTTCACCCACAAAATCTGTCCTCCCGGAATGCAAGTAGCAGACAAGTAACAATAACTATCATTTCTAGATACTTCATATTATGTCATTTAACCCTTACAATACCCTTACGAGGTGACTACTGCTGTTATCATCCTAATGAGGAAACTGAGCGTCAGAAGGCAGCTGGGCTGGGCTCCACACACCTCATGGACACAGGGGTCAGGTTTTAAATCCAAGGATTCCTGACTCCAAACCCTGGTGTCTCAATAAACTCAGCCACGGATACTACTCTTGTTGTCCCTGCCACACACACACAGACACACACACACAGACACACACACACACACACACCCTTCTTTCAATGCTAAAGAGGTTTTCATTTTCTATTTAAAAGAAAACATTTAAATTTACTTCATCCTCTGAATTGTTGGGACAAAATAAGAATGTTATAACAGGGGCAAATGTACTTTTTAGGAGGTCTACCAACTTTTCCGGGACATAAATTTCCATTAAATGAATGACCTTTCCCAGCCTCAACAGGAAGAAAGTGTCTCTTCAAAAGGGGAGAAACTTACGACCAGATTAAAGCATATCAGCTCTTCTCAGGGGCTCCTGGTTGTCCCCACTCCGGGGCTCCACTCTCCCATCCCCCTGTGGTCCAATGGGAGGTGACCTTTTAGAGACCTTGCTTCTGCTGGTCTCATCCCCCATTACCTCTAGGTGTGCACACAGCTCCCTTCCTTACAAAGGCATGGGTTGAGGCCCAGGGCCTGCTATTAAGTTGTGCCCACATGCCCTGGGTGGCAACAAAGTGACCTGGTCCTGACTCTGCTCCCTTATTATCAACCAATCTGTGTAGATACTTCCAGAGACATACTAGCAGAGAGTGTCACTGCCTTGGTGTGAACTAGGAAAAATGCACCCCATGCGTCCTTCCTCTAGGGGCACAGCCCCGTGCCAGGGCAAACAGCATGGTGAGCAGAGAGGAGATGGGTCCCAGCTCCCACCTGCCCCTCGATCACACCCTTGTGCAGGGCACACAGTACAGAGAAGTCCTAGGTACCTTTTGACTATTTTGTTAAGGGCAGGTGAGACCTGCAGAATCTCTCCAGGTAATATTTCTCTTTAAGGTGGTCAGTTGAGTTTTAAAGTCACTTATGTGGTACCGTGGAACGCAAACGACTCTTTAGAAATGATCCTCCTTACCTGCTCACAGGTTGTAGGTAAGATGCAAGGCGCAAGGTACTGCTTCTCTGTCTTTGTATCCATCACACTGCCATACACAACAATCACCAACTTCATGGTCGACCTGTCAATAGTCATCTCGTTACAGTTCGATACAGTCTCCACATATGCCACATTGACTGCCACACACTTCTCAAATGTTAATTCCTACAATGAAATTACACAAAATGTCTAAATCACACACAATGACACAGGGTATCAAGAAGAAAGAAAATTTGACAGCAATACAGTCATAGTAGGGGACTTTAATATCCACTGTCATCAACAAATAGATCTTCCAGACAAAAAAATCAAAAAGGAAACAGCGACCTTAAATGACACACTAGATGAGATGGATTTCATATTTACAGAACATTTCATCCTAAAGCAGCAGAAAATAGAGTCTTCTCAAGTGCACATGAAACATTCTCAAAGCTAGACCACATGTTAGGACATAAAATAAGTCTTTAACAAATTCAAGAAGGTTGAAATCATATCAAGCATCTTCTTGGATCACAAAAGCATGAAACTAAAAATCAGCCACTGAAGTACACTGTAGTTGCTTCCAAGTTTTGGCAATTACGAATAAAATTGTATATACATCCGTGTACAGTATTTTGTGTGGACATAAGTTTTCAGCTCCTCTGGGTAAATATCAAGGAGCACGGCTGCTGGATTAAATGGTAGGAGTGTGTTTAGTTTTGAAATTACTGCCAACTGCCTTCCAAAGTGGCTGCACCAATCTGCATTCCCACCAGCAATGGATGAGAGTTCCTGTTGCTCCACACTATCTGCAGCATTTGGCGGTGTCAGTTTTCTGCTAGGTTGTCAGGCTGTTCTAATAGGTGTGTAGTAGTATCTCAGTGATGTTTTAATTTGCATTTCCCTGAAGATGTGTGATGGATACGGAGCATATTTTCATATGCTTATCTGCCATCTGTATATCGTCATCGATGAGGTGTCCTTTAAGATCTTAGGCCCATTTTTCAATTGGGTTGTTTGCTTTCTTATTGCTGGGCTTCAAGATTTCTTTGGATATTTTGGATAACAGTCCTTTCTCAGATGCGTCTTGCAAATATTTTCTCCCAGTCTGTGGTTTGTTTTCTCATTCTCTTGAGATATACTCATTTTAAAATCCAACATTTATATCCGGTCTCTCAATTCAGTGAATATTGTCGAACTTCGGGTCTTTCACTTCCCCAGTTCCTGACTCATAATAAGGGCTCAAATAATTATTATATGGGACATAAATATGGGATTGAAAATTGTACTAGTCTAAGAACAAATTTGAACCACTACCTTTTTGGAGAGAAAGTTCACAAAAGAGGCTTAGTCAACTCAGCAAAGATTTTGAAAAGGCAGGATTTATATGAATGATTTATATGAATATAATATAAGCAGCTGAGTGTTCATTAACTCATTTTAATTAACACTGTGCTTGGTTCTGGGGCATCTACCTATTTAATATTTGCTGAATCTTTTTTTTTTTTTTTTAAGGGATGAGAGCAGATAGCCTGGGAGAATTAGCTGTGACAAGAGGACTGACAACATGCAGGAAGTCAGGAAAAGTGAGTGGTTAAAATTCTGGAATCTAGAATCGTACTTTTGAAACTTATAGAATCTTCTTAACGAATGTCACCCTAGTAAATTTAATAAAAATAAATAAATGAATAAATAAGTATATTCTTGAATCTCAATTTAGAAGATTGGGCGCAACCGTCCTTTCTTTGTCACAAAAAATATGAAGTGCATTTTGTAAAAAAATACAGTAAATGAAAGTTCACTTACGTTTTAATTGAGTCACTTACCTTATCGATGAGAACTGACTCAAAATACTGAGAGGCAGTGTTGAGAGCAAGCTTTAGCCATATTTTGTATTCCAGGGATGGCCAGAAGACATCAAAGCCCTCATACAAGTCCTCCAGGGAGATAAAACAGGCCTGAAATGACAACACGTCATGCGGCAAGCTCGATTCGGAGCGACGTTACAAGACCATCAGAAAACAAGATGCCTGTCGATTTAACCTTCATCAGACCTCTTAGAAAAACTATCAGCTCTCATATAATTATGATACTCTGCCATTTAAAAGCACTGTATTGTTAGCCCCAGCGGCGTGGCTCAGTGGTTAGAGCGTCGCCCCTTGGACTGAAGGGTCCCAGGTTCAATTCCGGCCCAGGGCACGTACCTCGGTTGCAGGCTGCAGGTTGCAGGCTTGGTCCCCAGCCCTGGTCAGGGTGCACAGGGCGCATGGAGGAGACAGCCAATCGGTGTGTCTCTCACCTCGATATTTCTCTCTCCCTCCCTCCCTCCCTCCATCCCTTCCACCCTCTCTAAAAAGCAATGGAAAAAATATCCTCAGGTAAGGATTAAATTAAAATAAATAATAATAATAAAAGCACTGTGTTGTTGAAGAGGCTGTTCGCTATGTATAAGGTAATACAATTTACAGTCCAATTAAAGCTATAGACCTACTGATAGGCCAGGAAAACCCACACCCGTCAATAGCTATGATAAGGACACGGCTCGTGAGCCCAGGATTCAGGAACTAAGCCACACAACTTACCTACTTTTATTGCCACAGTACATAAAGTGAGCTCATGTGCAATCTTTGCCTTCAGAGGCGAAATACTTAGCTGAGTAAGGAAGACAACGCTTTCAGAATTCACGTTACATGAAACTGGGTGAATTCAGTTCTGCCTTGTGACTGAATTCATGCCTCCTCTCCTCTTCCAGAGATGAAATGGTCTGAAGCTGACCCAGCAACGCGCCCTCGGTGCCGCACACCCCTGGGGCTCTGGCCCCACTCTGTTGCATCTAAGCGCCAAAATGCTTGATTCTTTGTAAGCAAGAACTTCGGCTCCTTCCTATTGGAACCCCCCACAGCTAGTGGGATATCGGGCTACTTATTTGTTCAGTAGATAACTTCCTACGTAGCAAACGGAAAATGAAAGAAAGGGAGATTAAAAACGAGCGTTCTTTAAAAACACTGCTCTCGGCCGGTGCCCGTTTCCTGAGCGCCTCTACAAGCCGCCACTTCATGCAGGTGTGTTCCTTCCTAGACTTCGTAGCATCAAAAGTTCGATATTCTCTTTTTTAATGACAGTCAACGAGGTTAAAAAATACCTTGCTCCAGATGCCACAGCCAGGATGTCAGTTGCCAAATGTGCCTGCCCATTTGGCAGGCTGGTTGGGGGACTCGCCAATGCATCAGAGCGCGAAGGAGGCAGACACGCTGGCATTTCTCATTTACTTGAGGGGGAGTTAGCCAGTTACTCACAAGACAGACAGAACCAGGGCCTTACCTGTAAAATGGTCTCACAGGTGGCGGTATATTCAATTTCGCGCTTAAGCAGACAACTCAGCTCTCCGATTATGTCCCCACAAGTACAGTACTCCGTGAACAAGGTGTGGGATTCACTGTCCCGCCTGAGGCTACTGTCGATTCCGAAGGTCGGGGGCGGACTGTGCAGCTGCAGAGGGAAATCCCACGTTAGAAACCCTTGCCCGGCCCACAGGGCTCTCACCCTTTCCTGCAGTCATCACGGCGGAAGGAAAAGGTGCTTTATGAATCCTCTCAGGTGTGAATTGGGCTTCACAGAATTCACGGTTTCTTTCACATTTCAACTCTCTGAGGCACGGATTGTTTCCTATCTTTAGCTTTACAGCTTTCTAGTTATAAACCTTTCTTATATAAAATCCCACACGAAGTAGTCATTGCCGTCTGCAACGAACGTCACTCCCCCCAAGTCCGTTAGATATTCTTATTGTAACAAGCTAGTGCCTCAAGTGAACAAAAACACAAAACACCTTTTGATTGCATGAATGCATAAATCAGACATCTGAATTAACCCACCTCTAAACCAAGCCATGATTTCAGCAAAAGCCTGTCTCCCTCTAAGATGCTTAAGAATAGTTACCAGGAAACAGCAAAAGAAAACATTTTTAGGGTGAACACAAGATGGTTGAGTTCCCCCCAGGAAAAGGACTGGTAGGCATAGGTGGGGAAAGAAGAAAGGTATCAGACTTCAGGGGGAAGCTGCAGGAGCCAACCAGAGGATTACAGAATTTCCCAGAAAGTTTAGCTGTAAACATCAAAGACAAAGGAAATAGGGAACCAAGGGTCACTGAAGAAGTTGCTGTGACAACCCTTCCCTCTTCTAGTGACCACCATTCAGACTTTTAGAGGCATTCGTGCTTCCAAAGGACTTGGGCAGTTTTAAAATTTAATTTTGAATGCGGTCCAAAGGCCCTTTGTGCAATGAGGAATAGCCCTGCTTTTTACAAACCCTATTTGACCTCCGAGGGGATGTGACACTGTGGTCCACTCCCTCATGCCTGACTCTCATTTTCTTTAGGTGAATAACTCAGCCACTCCGAGTACTGGGTTCCTTAACCCAACATCATGGAAGAGACTGTTTCCTCCCAAGATTGTTGTGAGGAATTAAGTAACGACTACGAAAACATTTTGTAAAATGGCAAGCACCTTTCAGATGTTGGGTATTAGTATCATCTCTCAACTGTAGTGCTCACTCTGAGAGGAAATGGTTTCATTTGGAAAAGAGGTTATATTAACATTTTGACACTTTCTTGGTTCCTAAATTTCTCCTTACATTATAATTACATACTTCAAATACATTTTAAGTAAAGAATAAATAGTCCCTTACTACGGCCATTCCTGAAATAATTAGGTAGATTCCCTGTGGCATTTCACCTTCTCTGCAAATGACATCCCCATAGTCAAAATAGGCAAGTCTGGCTTTTTCCTGAAAGAAAAAAGAAAAGAAAACATCAACACAAACTATGGACAACTTCATAGTCTACTTTTCACAACAGAAATATGATTTTAAAGCAAAAATGACTTTCAAGTAGCATAAAAACACAAACTATATCCTTTGGTTTCTTAATGAATTATAATAACTGACATACCTTGTTAACCTTTAGAAAGAAAGGGACAAGCAAGCACACTATAGACTTTGTGATCAGTAATCAGGACCGTGACTGATAGAAACACCCAATAAATGCTGGGCTGCATAGATGTTTACAATAAAGTGTGATCATTCTGACTAAGGAGACAGAGTCAGCATGTTCTGGTAAAAATCCAGAAGGGCCACAGGACTGTGTCTTGGGTGTCCAGGGAAGACTTTATAGAAGAAGGGACAGCTAAGCTGAGGCTTGATGGAAGAGGTACAGCCAGCCAAGACTTGATGAGGTGAAGACCATTCAGGGCAGAGGGTTCAGTATATGCAAAGACCAGAAGCAAACAGAATATCTGCTTGGGGTAAGCACTCAGTATGTCCCAGGCAGGGTGCCGTGGACACCAGGACTCAATTATCCACTCGGTCTCAACAGGTACAGCGACTACGGTTCACAATTGTTTTAGGGACTCACAAAAATATTTTAGTTTCTTAAAATCAGAAGGAATAAAAGAACTTTTAGGTAGAGGAGAATGTTTTAATACTAAAACAGTTAGTACTAGTTAGTACTAATATAGTCATCTTCACATGGACATAGTCATAAAGTATAATTTTTGGTAACTTTTTAATGGAGGAAGAGGCCAACTAAGGCAAAAGCGCCCAAGGCCTATGAAAAGTCATGACGCAGCCTCGGGGAGGCAGGGCTGGAGAGGTCCGCCAGAGCCAGGTCTTGGAGGATCTCAGAGACTCATTCAAGAATTTGTGTTTTTTTCCAAAATCAGGGGGAAGCCGCTGAAGGGTTTGCAACAGGAGAATTATGGTGACAGATCTGCATTTTACAAAAACGTGTGAGAAACTTATTTCCAAATTGTGTTAGGCTCATAACGAAACCTACTTTTCTAGGTTTTGCTGGGCCTCCATGTTGACTTTCCCTTTACTGGCCATTACAGGATTCTCTTTAGATTTTTGTTGTTGTTGTT